TGTGTGTGTGTGTGTGTGTGTGTGTGTGTGTGTGTGTGTGTGTGTGTCCCCAGGTGGAGCCTGCCCGTGCGGCTGACGGTCTGGGTCTGGGCATGTCACTGGCTCAGGCCAAAGAAAGAGCCCGTCAGAAACGAGCCGCCAAGAAAGCCCCGTCCATGGACTGGAGCAAGAGGAACGAACTGTTCGGCAACTTATAATCATCATCATCATCTTCATCACCACCACATCCATCTCCTCCTGTCTGTACTGCACCGTGTCTGCTCTCTGAATCTGGCTTTCCCTTGACACACAATGTTCATTTAGAACATTTGAATCTCTCATGTTCTACAGTATTATATGATGATTTTATTTGTTTTGATTTAGTTTTATTAATGGTTGAGTCACACAGGAATGAATGTTAATATATGAGGAAGAATGTGTAAAGGAGACAAATAGTAATGTACAGTTTCTCTTATGAGAAGGACCATGTAAGGAATAATGGGGCATAGGAGGAAAATATTATTTACAGATTTTAAATGACATTTTTAAATCTACAGTTTGAACAAATTTCCAATTTTGATGTCTGCAATCAGCACGTAAAATGAAAGAAATCCCTTTTGTCTTGTCAGTATCTGTGAATGATGAAGGCTGAATAACTCTCCTGAGCCCTTACTGCCAACACAACCATTCCATGAGTCGGTGTTCCTGTTGACTGTGGTAATCATCAACATGAGAGTCTTAAGGCGGAGAGCTCTGGTCGCCTCACTGGAAACGCGTCGTCATGTCTGCTTCTTTTGTTTCTGGTCGTGTAGCATTCAATGCAATGACAAATGTCGTCTTTTTCTTCACTTTGCTCTTAATAGACATTTGTACATATATGATTAAATGATTTTATCTAGAGAAATGAAGCTCCTCAGTAAATTGTTTTGATTCTGCTGAGATTGCAGGAATTTAAAGCTGCATCAGTTGGTCTGAGTATCGAATACAAGATGTTTACCATGTCAAAGTATAAAGTGTGCAGATGTACTGATGCTGGCTCTGTGCTGTACAATAAACATTTTGACATACTATTACTTTGTTACTTTTGTTAACATATATTCTACAAACTATACTTCTTTTTTTTATTCAATTTATTGTTATTGTTGTTGGGGGCCGTAGCTTCTGATCAGGGTCTACCAAGGCAAAGTGGTCTCAGGGGCGGGGCCAGACCAAGAGCGATTCTTTGACCCTTCATGAATCTGCTGGGAAGGAGTTGTCGCACCTCGCCCATGAAAGGGAAACCGGGGCCCCCTTCTAGAGTTGGACCTGGGAGGAGAGCTCGCCGGCGAGTGTCTGGTGGCACTTGGTACATGGGAATTGGAAGGGCACAGTCCGAAAGATCTGGGGCCCACCACTAGCAGGGATCGGCATTGGGGTCAGGTGCAATGTGAGCTGGGCAGGAGGTAGGGGGACATCGCTGCCCTGGTATCGCAGACCCGGCGAACGAGAGGGTAGCCACTATGCAACTGTGAGTGGCTCACGGGAAGTCTCTGACTGTAGCTTGTGCATATATATGCAATAACAATGGAGAAACCTGGAAGGGGGTGAGAGAGGAACAGCCGGCCTGACCTGAACCCAAGTGGTGCTTTGTTGTTGGACTTCTGTGCTAGTCATAACAAACACCATGTTCGAGCATCGGGCGATTCATAAGTGGACTTGGTACCAGAACACCCTAGGCCAAAATTCTATAGTTGACTTTGTGGTCGTATCATCACCTGGTAAACCCAAGCGTGTGGTGAAGGTGACCTGGGGACGTCTGGCTGAGGCCCCTGTCCGCGAGGTTTTCAACTCTCACCTCCGGCAGAATTTCTTGTGCATCCCGGGGAGGCTGGAATCTGAGTGGGTCATGTTCAGAGCCTCCATTGTGGAAGCGGCTGCTAGGAGCTGTGGTAGCGACAACCTGTGAACCCGCTAGTGGACCCCAGCGGTGAAGGAGGCCAGCATGCTGAAGGAGGTTTTGGGGCTTAGCTGGCCCGGGGGGGCCAGAAGGGCTGCAGTGGTTGCCGAGGCAAAAACCCGGATGTGGGAGGAGTTCGGGGAGACCATGGAGAAGAACTTTTGGTTAATAACTTTATTTATCTAGCTTTGACAGACAAAACAAGGCAAACACGAGGCAATAAACACACTAAGAAGTAAATAATATAATATAATAATAAAATAAAGCAGACGAGCAAAACGATGATATCACATAACTTTACCTTGTTCTTTTTGACTCATTATACTAAGGCTTTTTTTTTAGACATTTAATAGGAGACTACTGAAACAACCCTGTCCTCCTGTACTTTGTTTTTATGGCTGCTGTCCCTGGAGGTATTGGAGGTGGGCGTGGCAGAGGTTCATCACAACACTGGAAACACCTCTCTCCTCCCTGAGACGCCCATTCTGGTTTGTGTTTCTACACGATACAACACACACACTTTTCAACTCATGCACTGCTGAACTTGCTGACCCCCCCATGCCACTGTTAGTTTAAGATTTCCTCTTATGTCGCCTTTAAATAGATACATTTTGTCATGGACCGGTTTGTGGAAAGTGGGGGCTTAGCCGTCCAAAGTTGGTTTGTTTGAACCATTTAGTCCATCTCCAAATCAGATTGCATCTCGTAACTTTTAGGATTGCTCCAATTTAAAGACGACTCTTTTATTTCAAGGTGCAGCAAGTCCAACACCGTGAGCCCTGATTGGTCCACTGCTATAGATTGCCAAGAGTCTGGCCAATCAGAGCTCCTGCTCTAAAAGAAATATATGTATAAAAAATAAAACAAGGGCAACAAAAAAAAAAAGAAATTAGAACAGATGTAGGTATAAACATTTCTGTTTCTGGGTCGTTGCACATAAGATCTGCTCCTAAAAACGTCATAAGAGTATGATATTGATCGGAGTGGTGTTGGTGATAAACGGCTGAAGGAAAATGTAAAGGCTCTGTTAAACTACAGGTGGCTGAGAGCTAAGCAGGAGTCAGTCACCAGCAGCAGGATGCTGATATGGTGCTGATGGGGACTCACCTGGTCCATATGGACCAGGTGAGTCCCCATCAGCACCATATCATCACTGTGTTCATCAGAGAACGCATATAAGGTGTCCTCGTAAAAAAGCCTTTACGTTCAAACTGAAACACCTGTTGCTCTGAAATGGTCGTAATCTATTGATAATAATAACAGAATATCATGTATAATCTAAATGTATGGAGAACTGTTAAGTGAAAAGAGCTCCTGTCAGTCGGTCATGTCCTCACTGCTGGTCTGCTGGGGAGTTCTGCTGGCTGACTTTGTTGCAAACGTGCTGGAAGGTCCGACTGTCAAGCCGATCGTCGCTCTTCTTCTTTGATGGTGAAATGTACTTTTCTCTGGAGTTGAGCTGCTTCTTCCCTCTGTTGAGACAGCTTCTGCTCCAGAGCCTCACACTGTTTCTAGACACATGGAACCAAGCTGTTTTCCTCACTGAGAACATTAGACAACAGATAATAGTGATAGAAGTGAGGACACCAGAGACCAAGCCAGGGAGGCCAGTCTGTGTGCCCACTATCACCACGTAAGCACGCTGGTTGGGTCTGAATATTTCCTTCCTTCTCTCTAACTTAAAAACTAACGGTAATCTCTTCTCCTGACATCCAGCTGTTGAACAAGATCAGAGGTGTTGTGACCCAGCGCTCCGTTACGACTGCACAGGCAGAGACCCTCCTCTGCTGGTTTGGACCTGGCTGAGTTTCACACTGTCCTCCCCACACTGGAGGTCTGGGCCCAGCAGATCCGCCTCCTGAAGGTGAACACCAGAGGAGTTGATGGAAATACTATAAATGCGAGCTGATCATTCACCAGGAAACAGCTGACACAGCTGAACATGAAGCTGCTTTGTGGAGTCACATTTAAGGATACTTAGCTGACTATAATTCTTGAATATGTGTGTTGGTAGGATCTGCAAAGGGCTTTAAATCAGTTGGCTGCCAGACTGATGCCCTGGCAGCCATGTGATGGCGGCCATAATGCTGCAGAAGCAGTAACAGTGGAGGACATGCTGTTGCTGGTGGACACCATGCTGGAAAACACCTCAGCTGATGATGACAAGGTAGAACTGTGCACTACTTGCTCATGGTAGTGGTGATATGTACTGTGTATGGAACTTTAAGAAGGCCTTCCTGTGCTGTGGTCCTGCTAGGTGCTCAGCAGTCCCACTCGATACACTCTGGGCTCCATGGTGTGTCAATTCCAGAAGCTGTTTGACGTGACCTCCCTCAGGTCTACAGCAGGCTGGGAGACACGAGCAACACCATGAGGAACCTCCGAGATGTTCTGCAGCTCGGTAACCTCAGCTTCACACGCTCTTCAGTCTGTGTGGGACCTCTGGACGGTAGTCAGACGGCAGTTTGTGGTTGTGTGTCAGACAGCAGGGTTCCTCCTGCTGAGGTGGTGAACCGGGTGGCCAGACTGGTTTCCTCCACCGAGCACACCAAGATGTGCTGGGAGATGCTGATATCGACAGGTTCACATGCACGGAGCAGACGCACGCATGTTGTTGGGTCTGTCGTGTTTCTGTTGGGCCACATTCATCCAAACCGCTCTTGTTTTCCAGAATCATCATCAAAGTGAAGCAGCATGAGGCGTTCTTCCCTGCTTTCCACGCCCTCATTATGGATATTTTACAGACTCTGGGTAGATATGAAACCATAACAATACATGTAAAGACAAATGCTGCAACACATGCATACAAAACATGTATGGAGAGTCAAATACTTCAGTAATAATGAGATTGTGTGTGTGTGTGTTTCAGGAGTGAGTCAGCTGGACGACATCCTTCCAGCTCTGAAGTGTTTGAAGCAAACAGCACAATGACGTGCTGCACTCACTGAACTGGGTGCTGTGTAATGATTGCAGATTGTGATTTTTGATTTATTTTTAATAAAAAGTGAATATCAGAATATGACTTTCTTCTGCAACAAGCTCGATCATTTCTATGTGAAGTGAAACAGAAGCAGCTCAACCAGCCTGACACCAGCTGATGAACAAACCACTTTAGAGGAGAATGCTGACTTTAATCAAATCACATTTATGGAAAATGAAAAGTCCTGAGTATTTCACAGTTCCACTTTTATGATCCTTTCTGTTGTATATCATGTTCTCTAAATTATGCTTTTGATTCATCTCTTTAACACTGTTGGGAGTGAGTTGGAGGATATTAATTGTGATCATGATTTTGGCTTCCCACCATTAAATGAACATGTTGAACATGTCGAAGATATATTGACGTTTGTAAATGCATGCTCTGCTCATAGAAAACTCTGCTACATCAGGGGCCACCAGGGGGAGATCCAGATGTTGATTTCATTCTGGGTAAAAAGTTTTGGTACAATTTTATTAGTGCTTCCAAGAGACGCTCTGTGAAGGACCCGTCTTATTTCAATGCAATATAACACACAACACGTGTGTTATGTCTCCAACACTTAATTATTGACTTTCAATTCAATTCAGTTCAATTTATTTTTGTATAGCCCAAAATCACAAATTAGCCTCAGAGGGCTTTACAATATGTACACACTTGACATCCTCTTGTCCCGGGACCCTCACATCGGAACAGGAAAAACTCCCCCAAAAAACCCCTTTAACGGGGAGAAAAGAGGAAGAAACCTGTGGGAGAGCAATAGAGGAGGGATCCCTCTCCCAGGATGGACAGAAGTGCAATAGATGTCATGTGTAGAACAGGATAGTGAATTACAACACATTCAATGTAATTACAGCACATTCAATGTATGACAGAACCACGGCAGGAGGCAAGACCTGGTCCAGGTATAACCCGGATACACAGGAACCTGTGAGGCGAGAAAGCACAGAGACTCTGGTGAAGAAGCAGGTCAATAATGTGCATTAATGGTATCGGTAATATGAAATAATAATGCGAGTAATAATAAAAGTGATATTTAGCAGTTGGAGTCAGCAGGGCCATGGTAGGAGGAAGGACCAGGGTCCAGATGAAACCATGCTCCATGGAAACCTGTGAGGAGAGAAAGCACAAGGACTCCGGGGAAGAGACAAAATCAGTACTGTGCATTAATGGCATCGGTAATAGGGTTAATAATGAAGATCGTAGTAGGTGTCAGCAGGGCCATGGATGGTTGAAGGACCAGTGTCCAGATAAAACTGCGGTCATGGGAACCTGTGAGGCGAGAAAGCACAAATACTCCGGGGAAGAAGTAAAGTTAGTAATGAGCATTAATGGGACATCAATGCATACAGACAGAGGTGAAGAAGAAGAGGAGAGAGGTGCTCAGTGTATCCTAAGGAAGTCCCCCTGTAGTTTGTCTAAGGGCCGGTCCAAGGCAAGCCAGAGCCAGCCCTAACTATAAGCACTATCAAAAAGGAAAGTCTTAAGGTTACTCTTAAATGTGGTGAGTGTGTCTGCCCCCCGGACTGAAACGGGAAGCTGCTTCCACAAAAGAGGAGCTTGATAACTGAAGGCTCTGGCTCCCATCCTACTTTTTAAGACTCTAGGAACCACAAGTAACCCTGAATTAATGGAGCGCAGCTCTCTAGTAGGGCAGCATGGTACTATAAGCTCTTTAAGATATGACAGTGCGTGACCAATTCGGGCTTTGTAGGTAAGTAAAAGGATTTTAAATTCTATTCTAGATGTTACAGGGAGCCAGTGCAGAGAAGCTAATACAGGAGTAATATGATCTCTTTTCTTAGTTCTTGTTAGTACACCAGCTGCAGCATTCTGAATCAACTGGAGAGATTTCAGAGACTTATTAGAGCAGCCTGAAAATAAGGAATTACAGTAATCTAGTCTAGAGGTAACAAACTAATTTCTCTGCATCGCTTTGAGACAGGATGTGCCTGATTTTTGAAATGTTACGTAGGTGAAAAAAGGCAGTCCTAGAAATTAGTTTTATCAGAGAGTTAAAAGACAAATCCTGATCAAAGGTAACTCCAAGATTCTTTACGGTGCTGCTGGATGCCAGCGCAATGCCATCTAGAGAAACTATATCATTAGATAACTGATTTCGGAATTGTTCTGGGCCAAGTAGAATAACTTCAGTTTTGTCTGAGTTTAACATCAGGAAGTTGCAGGTCATCCAGGTTTTTATGTCCTTAAGACATGCTTGCAGTTTAGCAAGCTGATTGGTTTCATCTGGTTTGATCGATATATATAATTGAGTATCATCTGCATAACAGTGAAAGTTTATAGAGTGTTTTCTGATAATATTGCCTAGAAGAAGCATATATAAGGTGAACAAGATTGGTCCAAGCACAGAACCTTGTGGAACTCCATAATTGACGTCGGTCTTCATCGTTTACATAAACAAACTGAGATCGATCCGATAAATAGGATCCAAACCAGTTCAGTGCGGTTCCTTTGATGCCAATATAATGTTCAAGTCTCTGTAACAGGATGTAGTGGTCTATAGTGTCGAATGCAGCACTAAGGTCTAACAGGACAAGAACAGAGACTACTCCTTTGTCTGATGCGATTAGAAGGTCATTAGTTATTTTTACTAGAGCCGTCTCTGTGCTATGATGCTTTCTAAATCCTGACTGAAAATAACAATAGTTTATTTGAGATTTTCATTTGCGCTCTCGGATTTTGACAGTGATTTGCTTTCATACTATGACGTCATTTAGCGACCTCAGGTGTAATGAAGTTCAGTGTGCGCATTTGATTGGAGGGAAAAAGTATTCACAAGTTTATTGTGGTCATTCAGTGTAATTTGTATTCCCATAGCATAAACCTCAGAGTCTGAAAACGGAAGCCAATGCGGAAGTGCCTTAAAGTCCAACTGTATAGAAGTCTATCAGAAAATGACTCTACTTCTCTCTTGATTTATTACCTCAGTAAACATTGTAAACATGAGTTTATGGTCTCAATCTCTAGTTTCAAGTCTTCTTCAATACAGCATGATTTATTTAGTAAAATGTGGTCCTATTTAAACTAAAATAGACCATAAAGCAGGGTAGGTTTCAGGGCTTGGCTACCATGTGATTGACAAAACACAGGAATGTTCAGCGTTAGCGTTGTGCTAAAAGACTAAGTAGTCAGCTGTTCATTTTTTTCCAGTAGGTACATCACGAATGCACCTTGCTAACCAAGCTAGCTCCCTAGCTAACTAGCGCCAGCATTAGCTGCTAACGGTATCTGGCCCTGTCAGGCGTTGCTCCCAAATCTTTACTTTGAGTTTGACTGAAGTTGTATTTCTTATTTGGATTAATCTAAATTGTTGGACGAGGACAAATATTAAAAGTTCTTATTGGAACCAACAACAGAGATTTCATAGTGCGGCATCCTGAGGTAGACGTAAACCTCCCAGCATGCAGCAGGGCAACATTCATTGACATAATTCTCATTTTGTCCATATCTGCATCGTTACTGATGTTATTTTAGGACATGACAACTGGATATAATGTGATGTTCATTTTCATGTTCAAGTTGAATGCCTTTTAAGTAAAGCCTCACTTAAAAAAAACCTTTTTTTTATCCTTTCAGAAATTGTAATAATTTCATCTAAATATGATTTTTAACAGGTGGATATTGTGTAGGTGTCGGTGGTCAGTACCCTGGCTATGAGGAAAATAATTATTGAGCTGTTCCATCACTTCCTCCAACCCAGATGCATCTTGGGAGGGGCTGGACAGCTCGTCATCACCTGAAAACAGGAAGGAGGTGATGTTTTTCAATTTTTCAGAATTATTTCAGACACTCACATCCCTGCACTTCTATCTTTGTGAAGACCCTCATTGACAGAAAGCATTCCCTACCCCCTTAAGTCGAGGTACTTTCCTGAAGGTCTGAAACTCAAATTGGTCCTCATAAAGATATATGTTCACACGCACACACATTTAAACAGATTTTGGTCCAATGTAGAACATCGTCTACATTGGACGATGTGGACGATGCCACAGCTTGTATGGCATCTACAAGCTGTGAAATCACACATCTCTATTTATATCCTCTATGTTTTTAAAACGGTGGATGCAAATGAAAGGATATCAGTCAGTGTATGTGTGTGTGTGTTCTTACCAATTGTATCAGTAGTTTGGCTGGCAGCCACACGTAGCAGTGGGAGGGAGGAGTCGGAGCGTTGAGAGGAGGTGGAAGGAGAGGACACTGCTGTGCCGTTCACCTTGGAATCCGTCTGACGCACACACGCGCACACACATTAGATACACAGCAAATTGGCGGCCACGCCGCACAGCTTAATTAGAGGAGTCAAAAGGGGAGTGAAGTGTGTGTGTGTTGGACTAAGGAGTTGGCCCGATCCTCTGTGTCAGCTGTTACAGCTGGCAGCTAGACAGCGCGGAGGAAAGCTGCTTCAGCTCGAAGCTCACCGGTCAGAACTTCACACCAACTTTGAAACTCTGTTTTATTGAGCCAGGACACCAAAGCTAGGGAGCTGGGTCCTCTGCGGCATGTGACGGTGCACCGCCTTGCTCAAGGGCATGTTGAACAGCAGATTGTTGAGTGGGCAGAAGCAGTTTTGGCGTAATTGTTTCCACAATCTGGTGAGGGATCTGAAGCAGCTTTGTCCATTTCTTTACTTTCAAAGCTTTGAATGTTTGTCGTTCTATTTTATGATGTCATCACCCTGAAAAAAAAACCTATTTCGAACTAAATCCTAAATTTGAATAAAGAGATTCATGGTGGTATAATTTACTAGCTTTACTTAGCTGCTAAAAACAGTGGGCTAGAAATGAGTCTCGCAGTGGACATAGTAAAATACATGAACATTTTTCACATCTGTAAGTGTCCACAGACTTTTTGCTTTGAGTGTATGTGGGATGAAATCCTATTTTAAAACAATTAAAGTTTCTTTAAAGCTTGTTGAAAATATATATCTTATTAC